TCAGCAGGATTAGAGGTGATCTCCTCTCTTCCTCCCTGCTCTCTGTAATCCCTGCTACAAAGCCTTTCCCGCTGGCTGCGGGCTTAAGCCTGAGCGTTGCTATTCCGCTACAGAACCGAGGGCTCAGGCAGGAGAGATCGCAATCGCCATCCCTGACGGCAGGAAGGACGCAGGGAGGCAGAGCGCGGGCGTCTGGGGGGAGGAAGGAAAGCGGGGAAGAGGACCAGCCGCCACAAACTGGGAGGAAGGCTGGGACCAGCTTTGCCCTGCCAGGGGAAGCTGCTGTCACCGCAAGGATGGGGACAACGTCCCCGCCGGCAATGAGGGGCTGGGGCCAAGTCACTCTGCCTATGCTGCTGGGCCGGCCCTGAACTGAGACTGAATGAGAGAGACGAGGAAAAGAGCTCTAACGAGCAGGGTGAGGCTCAACGAGGTTCGGTGGCGAGCGCAGGGCTCTGTCCCGAGGAACTGCAGCCAAGCAGCAGCCCGCGGAGAGGGGCTGAGGTGGGACGGCTAAAAAGCTACAGGAGACACAGGTGTGGAAGCTGCAGCCACTGCCCTGGGATACTAAAATGGGATTATAGGCTAGAGACACCCCAAATAACCCTTTCCTCTTTCCTCAGAGCACTGGAGCTTCCCAGTGCCCCTTCCCCAACACCGCCCCGGTCCCCTGATGGCTCTCACCAACCTCCACTTGCTGGCAGATCTGTATCAGCTTGGCCATCTGGTTCTCCAGTTCACTGTTGCGTTTAACCAGGTTGGTGAGATTCGTCTCCAGGGTTTGCTGTGAGTCCAGAAACGGGAGAAAAGAAAGAGAAAAAACGAAAAGATCAGCAAAGCTGGAGGATTGTCCCCAGTCCCCCATTAGCAACCGAGACCATTTGCCACCCAACATGCTGCCTGAGGAAGCGACAACTTGACGAACTTTGGGCAGAGGCTCCTGGGTTTCTTGCCAGCTCCTGCCCGTGGTGGTGGGCTGTGCGAGTGCTCAGCCCAGGACGGGGGAGCCACCGAGGAGGTCACCAGGCGGAGGGGACAGCATGGGGTCTGCCCTTTGCTGCTCCTTAGGAGACAGTCTGAGAAGCCGGGGTGGGTTGTGCTCCTGCAGCAACGCTGAGTTTCTCCTGCGTTCCCTGGAAAACTTCACGGGCAGCCAGAAAAACATCAGGAGTATCAACATTTCTCAGAAATGTTCTCAAACCACGTTTTTTTGCTGAACCCTCTGACAAGGTGGGAGAGACTAAACGTGCTGCTCCCCGTGTTTCTGCCAGGGAAGAGCCAGCGCAGCTATTTCCTCCACCAGTTTTGTTTTGCACGTGGTAAGGAAGCCAAACGAGGACCACAGGAGACGGACCTCTCCTTTGCAAACCATCTCTGCCGAGCAACACCAGCACAGGC